CCAGCAATGATCTACTCTGCGTCTTGATTCCAATTAAAATATTTATATAAAATAAAAGACACCACATTATATCAATACAAGTAAAAAAAAGTATATCTGGTTAGTTATTAACATATCTTCTTTAGGAGAACCGCGTTTTGTCATTGAAAAATAAAAAAAAATTCGTGACAAAAAAAATCTGTGCAACACCAAGTGCCAATAATAAATAATTAATGATGCATTTGCCGATCAAATAAAAATTTTTTTTTTATAAAAAGAAATCAAGAAAAAGAAACAGAAAGAATATATGGGAAAGTGTTTTAATGTTTTAAGAATGGTGGTGGTTATCGCCACTTGTCGTCACTCTATTTTTCCTTGAAAATTCACTAGGAGTAATAGGAGAGATAGATGTAGAAAAATTGAATAAGGTGTTTGATTTAGAAGATGAGTTGGGCAATCTTGAGAGTTTGTTGTTGATAGAGGATCAAAAAGAAGATGATTCAGAAGATGATTCAGAGGCCGGGGGTGAGAGTGGATATGATGGAGATGAAGAAGTGATGATGAAGACAGTGGGAGTAATTATAATGTTGATGATAGTGATAATAATAATTATGTAAATATTTTGGTTATTTCTGCTTGCTGGTTGATTTTTATACTTTTACTTAAATGGTCTGTTGTAAACAATTACAGAATGATGATGATAATGCATCCCCAAGGAAAAGAAGGAGAATTAGGTGCTTTTATGTGGTTGATTCTGGGTGTGAGACATCGAAAGAAGTATCAAATTGATTTATATATATTTTTTAATTATTGATAGTTAATATTTTATATTTTAATAAAAATAAAAATTTAAAGCATATTTTCATTCTGCTTTCTTTTCTTAATTTTAATTATTTTTCTTCCTCTTGGTAAATTTCATAAGTCATCCTTTCTTTCCTTAGGGCGCTGGCATATATTAGCTATTTAACTCTAGATCTTTTTTTCCTTATCAACAATTTTCCCACATCAAGATTCCAATAATAAACATCTGACTCTTTAATACTAACTAATTCCATAAATTTCATTTGAAAAATAATTAACCAGTCCACATAATCTTAAATCTGTAATATAACAAGCATATCCTTCCATTAACATATTTCCACAATACATTAAATATTTAATATGTTAATGATAAACGTAAACATTTAAATGATTTTTTTGTCAGCCCTTGGCTGGCTAAGCCAAACAACTCTAAGCCAGCTCGTGTCACTATTTTTTGTAAATATAATTAAAATATAATTTGATTTTTAAAACATTGACCTCATCTAAAATTTGGTGTTCCAAGGCCATTTGAGTCGATCAAACATTTCAATACCACATGATGTGATACATGATAAAAAAATTATTCCTTGTTTTCTTCATAATCCTTCTTGTCCGTGTTGCCTTATAAATAAAACTTTAGCTAAATATCCAACTTTCTAAATTGGTCAAATGGGATACATTTCATAATTTGTTTTGGTAGAGCTGAAGGCCTTTGGAATTATTCATTTCCTGAAGTCCAAGTTTTAAATTGACTTTGTAAATATAAGCTATCATAACATACATTAGAATATTTTTGTAGCGTTAAATTATTTACATTCTTTATTGCATTACCTAATTCGGTCTCATTAATATATTTTTCCTTTTCAATTTCTAAAAGATCTTGTCTTGGTTTTCATTTACAAGCGATAAAAATATATCATTGTTTTTATGATCATTTGCAATTGGATAGGCTTTATTAACTATTTCAGAATAGGTTTGAACTTCATTTCATATTTCAGGTTTGTTTAACAGTTTGGATGTTTATACACTTCGACTTTATCCCTAAAGAAGCATCGGGCGAAGCTAGTTTCTCAAATAATAAAATTATTCCTACCACTCCACTCATGCTCTTATGAGCAATTACTACCATTAAAAAAAACAAAAACGGACAGACAGAATCATAGTTGGGCATGAACTTACTTCAAAACGATTAGTAAAAATTTGTTCAGCCTTAAATGAAGTTGGTAATTGACCAGAAATCAAATGAATTACAATTTGAAATTAATTAAAATAAATAAATATTTTATTTTTAAGTTCTTCTAATAAATGTTTTTAGTATTAACGGATTAACCCATTACAAATCCGGATGGGAAAAATCCTTAATTGTAATATTAATATTAAACAGTTCAACAGATCAAATATTCTTTAATATTAATGTTAATGTTAAAGGACCCGTTAACCCATTAACAATCCAGGTCATAATACTACCATAGATTTTTTAAAACGAGGGTTGTTGACTGTATCATATTGACTTAACTGTTAATATTAATGTTAATTTAAATTATCGTTTTGGCTTGGTTGTTAATGTTAATTATCATTTTATTATCCACAACAACTTTTTCAAAAGTTTGAAACAATTTTTGACCAACAAAATCATTTCAATTGTTACTATCCAAAAGTATTTCGACTATTATTACTACTATCCAAAACTATTAAGATTTTATCAAAAAGTCGAAATGGTTCATGTACAACTGATATAATTACTATTATTCTAATAATAATGATTTACTACATCCGTTGTCATATTCTTCAAGCAGAATGTAATGATCTTGATATCTTGATACTTCTTAATATAATCAGTATTAAAGGTTATTTGAATGGGTGTTAATTTATTACTAATGAATAAAGTATCTAATTTTTAAATTGTCAATTAATTAAAAAAGATTGAACATTTGACATCGCGAGTCGTGCAGTTTTTTGCCGATTGTCTTTTTTTTACGTCTAGCCGTGCTTGGCAAATGTTTTGTTTTATAAAAACAGCAATTTCCAAATTTCCAAAAATTGTTACACGATTATTTATATGATTTTACAATAGTCGTCCTATTAAAAAATATGATAAGTTACAAATTTGTATATATACCAAAAAAAATATTTTTTTTATAGGCACGTAAATTTCAAGCCTCTTTATCCCTGATCAAACGTTTTCCAATATCAGTATTATGAATGAATTTATAATAAAGAGGTTTAGAATATATAATAATAATAATATATGTATATATTTTAATAACATGTATGGGAATTTAAACATTAAAAAAGAATCAGCAAACCTAACAGTATATAAAAGAAACAAGGAACCTGATAATATTACAGATAAGTTAAATTAAAATATTATTTAAAAGTTCAATTTTTACGAAAAATTTAAGAATTGAACTTTAAAAATTAACTTTTTTTGGTATAATATGAAACTATTTAATGTAACATGTTATGCTTTTAATGTGCCAATTACGTTTGAGGCAATTAATTATATTTAAAATTAAATCTTTAGCAAATATACTGTACATGGTGTCCAAATAATTAAATTAATTACATATCTATTAAACGAAAACAAGTATTATTATTATTAATAAGTAGAATAAGAACGAAATAGTAATGGGAATAATAAAAATTATTCTCTCTTGTATGTATTACTATTGAATTTTTTAATTCTGTTCACATTATACAGTTATATTATTAACGATCGATTGTCAAAGAAATTCCGTTATGCATTGATCTATGTGATTCTTTTTCTTTAATGTAAAACCTCTTTTCCACGTGATAAAAATTTATCGTGCAATAATTATAATATCTTTTTGGTAAGAATAAAAATTTCTTTTTTCGTTTGATATTTAGTTAGTTGAAGATCATACCGTTTTTATTTACTATTATTATCATTTGTCCTGTTTTTTGAATTGTACCATTGATTTAGAAAAGCATTATGCGTTTAATTAATTAATTGACAATTGAATTGATCATTATTACTAAAAGTGCATTTAATTAAATTGACAGTTGAATTGATTATTTGTTTATTACTAAAAAATGCTTGGATCACGTCTATACATTCATTTTGCAAAGCTGGATTGCAAGCTTTGCAAATCTTGACTTTAACACTTACTTTGACCAAACCCGCTCATATAATTATTGAATAATTGATAAAACGTTCATTTTGCAAACTCGATTTGCAAGTTTCATAGACCTTGACTTTAACACTCACTTTGATCAAACCCGCCTATATAATTATTGAATAAAAAAACGATCATTTTGGAAAACTTGGTTTGCAAATAGATCTTGACTTTGGCACTTATTTCGATCGAACCTGCCTGTATTCGAGTAATTGATAAAACGTTGATTTTGCAAAACTTCTTGGATCTCGTATTTAACACTTACTTTGATCGCGCCTATCTATACAAACTATTGGATAATTGACAAACGTTATCGGTATATATTTTACAAACTTCTTTGGAAGCTTCGTACGTCGTCATACATCTTGTATTTAACAGCTACTTTCACAAAATCGTCAACTCTACTTTTTCTATTGAATTATTTTGGATTTTTATTTTTTAGATTACACAAAAAAAATTATTATGGAATATCCCATGCACAACTTGAAATATAAGGCTCATTTTTTCAGACATGCAATGGCGAACCCGTGTGACTCACTGGGTGTATTGACCCTTCATGACATGACCTCTCTCTTTTGTTAATTTTTATACATTTTAAAAAAAAAAGAAAAAAAGAGACAATGAATCATAATTTTTTGAGGATGAAGTTTTTCAAAAAAAAAAAATGAGGGGATGGCTGTCTTATTTATATGTTTTGAATTTAATAAAATAGATTATTGTCTTGGCCTGAATGATGTCATTTTTTTGCTTTTTGCGACAAAGAAGATGCAATCCAAACCCAACTTATAATAAATGAAATTTTGTTCTCATGTTGCGTTCTCAGTTGTAAGCTTGTTTCTAGTAACATTGGTAATATTTAATTGAACAATAAATAGGTTGATGAAGTCTCACTAAACATAATAAATAGAGGAAAATGATACTTTTATATTTTATTATCCAAAAATTTAACTTCTATTTTCTTATATAGAATTAGAATATACAGTAAAAATTATCAAACCAAGCCCTTTTTTCACCCAAAAATATTATGTATAAATAAATATTAATTAAATTAACCAAAAAAAAAACAATGTACTAATTTATTTATTAGTACATGTAGGTGAAAATAAAGGCTACACCGCCTATTGCGATGCTCATCAATGAACTTGGTGATATACCGATGGCTTCAGATGCAGATGGTGGAGTTGGTGTAGTAGTGGGGGCGGCAGCAGTAGTGGGGGCGGCAGCAGCAGCGGCGGGAGAAGAAGTTGGAGCTGCAGCTTTTGGAGGATTACTATATGCTGGTTTTGATGTATCTGTTGTCTTTGGTGCTTCTGCCTTTGGTGCATCTGATGTTTTTGGTGCATCCGGTGCTTTTGATGTTGTTGTTGCCTGTGGGTCTGTTGCCTTTGGGACTGGAGGTGCTATTTTTTCAATATCAAATCTAGTTGACCACACAAAAGTCTTGCCTTGATTGAATCTGACAAAGCTTTATATAAATAAAAATATTAATAAATTATATTATTATAGATGTTGAATATCAGTATAGGAGAGGGAAAAGTAGATTACTTACTAGAATTTTCCTGGAGGACCAAGATCTTTTGGAACGGTATAATTTGCTGAACCTGCTATACCTTTAATGTTTGTACCAATAACAGAAAGAGAAGTTTGATTGGTGTCAGTACCTGTCATGAGTTCAATTGTTAAATCATTCAATTCACTTAATAGTGGTGCGACATTATCATCTTTCCATAGAAGTTGGACATTATCACCGCCATTCCAGATTGAAGCAGCGACTGGTTCTGTGGGAAAGATATTAGCATTTGCACCAACAGTCAAAAGAGCCAAGCTTAAAAGTGTAGCTGGTTTCATTTTTATATGTTTATTGTATTATTATATTATTATAATTTATATTCTAAAATTCTATTGGTTTTACTTTTCTTTATGATAAAGAATGTGAAAATTTTAATTATGGAGGAGGAAGTAGGAAGTAAGGAAATAAGGAAATGAGGAAATAAGGAAATAAGGAAGGTAACGAATATGAAAATATTGTAAGAAAAAAATAGAGAAAATGTATTAAGGGGACGGGAAAAAGTGATTTTGAATTAAATTAAAAATTATTATTACAGACATGAGTGCTATTTATACCCACTCTTTTATTATCTATATTAAGTTTCAAATGCACGAATAAATAATTTTTAATTATTTAAATTATTATCTGTAAATTTATGTTATTTATGTCACACTTGAAGTAATAGTCGATTGTAGGGATGGGAACGGTTCCTGTCACGCGAAGCGACGAATAATATTTCCATAATTGATCCGTGACGATTAATATACTAAATTATAGGTGACAATTAATTTGTCTTGTTTTGGCAATCTAAATGTCACCTGTAATTTAGTATATTAATCGTCACGGATCAATTATGGAAATATTATTCGTCGCTTCGCGTGACAGGAACCGTTCCCATCCCTAGTCGATTGGGGTTTTACTATTAAAAAGGGGCGTCAAATTTTGGGTTTTAAAAATTTATCACGTGTACAAATTTTAGCTAAATTATTGTAATACGAGCAGTAAAATATCACGTGAAAATATTTTCGACCAATGAAATAAAAGAGAAATTTATTAAGTAATAGAATTATTCCCTGCGATTTACTTTTTTAAAAAGAACTGCAGATCCCGTTTTTGGTAAACCAACAATAGTTAATGGCTTTTCCTGTACAAGTTTTAGCGAATGGGATTAGAGTTATCCAATAAGAATTACAGAATAATTGTTTTTTGCTAATATTTAAATTGTTAGTCTATTTTATATAATTGGATATTTAATATTGTTCTTACACATCTAGGTGGTTAGCACGGGTTTCTATGAATTAGAATGTGGCAAAAGGTTTCTTGGCGAAATATCTCTTTTTTTTAGATTAATAAAAAATATCAAAGGTAATTGTTATTATTAAATTTTAAAAACAGTAATTAATTTTTTTTCCAAGTATAATAAATACTTATTGGGAAGCATTGATAAAAAAATTTTATTTTTTTTTTTTTAATTATTTTTTCCTTCATAAAAAATTCGAAAAAAAAAAAAAAAAATGAAAAATTTTGTGTTATTGTTAATAATAACATTGATATTATTAATAATTAAATTTCCTTTATCTATAAATTCACAACGAAACTTTACATATGTAGAACAGGAAACCGGTTTACAAGTATTTCGATTAATTAATTATGATGATGGCACAATAATAATCAGAGTTACAAGAGATATTTTATGTCCTGAAACTTTGATAAGGCTTCGAGTAATTAGTAAAGATGGAGATGTTAAATCTGTAACCTTTGGTGGATTACCTGGAACTCCTTGCACCCTAGCTTCTGAAATTTATCCTTTGAAAATCGATTATTTTCTGTTAACCTATTTTAATTGTGAAAAAAGTCTTTGCAACCATTATGGAATGATTTTATCTTGGGATGGTGCGATCGTCGAAAGGTAAAAAAAGATTTTTTAGTCGTAACAAATAAATAATAAATAAGCATAAAAGCTCATGCATAATTTGTACAACAATTCACAGTGACATTAATTTAAGTGATGTGCAACTATTAGAACCTCTTCTTCTTAATAAACGTGTCCAATCTAAAACTGTTACCAGATATCCTGGTTTGTTTCTTCATGTTGTAATTAATGAACAAGGAATTATCAGCTGGAGAGAGTTTGATTTTTCGTAAGTTATAATTTCTCAAAAAAAATTTTTTTGAAATTTAAATATTGATCTAATCTATACTAACCTACAAATCTGCATAAATAAATATATAGAAAAGATGCAACAAAATCAAAACTTTTAAGATCAGGAAACAGTGAGAAAAATAGTACCTATGTATTCACTGTAGAAGATTTTCAGCTTTTACCGATAAAAAATGGTGCTTATGCTATCACAGTTGCTTATAACTTAAGCACTAATATTGGCAATGGAACGATATACGAAGTTGAAACCTATATTATTCCACCTTTAACAAGTCCAAAAAATAATTTGACTGAATTCACTTTATATAAATCTGAAGATGATCTTCAAGAAATTAGATTAATTGGATGTCATGACAACATTGTTGCTGGCGCCAGCAATTCTTCTCAGAGTGAAGATGCGTGTTTTCTGGAAATTGAAAAATCAAATAAATTTTCATGGATGCAATTATCATTTTCAACTGAAGGTGTAACTAAACCTTTGGCAACATTTGGAAATGATTCTTTTTATGACACAGACACAAAAGAACGTATTTATTCTGTGATGGGAATGTCTGGAAACAATACTGATAATTATATGGTGATAACAATTAATACCAGTGATCCAAAAACTGCTCATTTTTCTGGTTATATTTACAATGAATCGAATAAAACTTATACTCATTGGGATTTTCCAGAAGGAATGCAATTTAGTGGTTTATTCAAAACGTTACCAAATGATACCCTGATAGCACCTTTGGTCTCACCTGCTAACTCTAATTTTTGGTCATTGGAATCAACTGTTATCAATGTTGAAGGATCACAAGGTAAATATTTCTTTTTTCATTATTGATTGAATATTTCTTTATTTTCCAACTAAGCTCACTTTTATTTTTAGCGCATAGTGATTTCGATATTAATGCAAATATTATGGAATTTAATCCAAAAAATGGAACAACTATTCCCTATAATCTTGATGAAGTAAATGTAACCATATCAAGTGAAGATGTAGTAATAGGATCCGGAAATATTATCATTTATCAATTATTAAATAACAATGAGACTCTATTACGACAAACAACACCAATAAATTCTCCACTTGTATTTTTAGAACATGACACTATAAGCTCACATCATACAATTTTGCATTGTTCACCTATTCTATCCAGTACATTCAATCAAGCTAATGGTAATTACCTTGTGCACTTTGACAATAGTTTATTAATGACCAAGGAAAATATTTCAATTCCCATCCAAGACATTAGCTTTACAGTTGGCGAGATTCCACCAGATGGAACTGAAGATGAATTTGAGAAAGGAATTCTTCGATTATCTGTTGATGCATCAGAGTATTTTAAAACATTGAAAGGGGAAGATAGAGATAATTATTTTTTTCGTATAAAGCATGATATTGCACAATTTGTCCCTATGGAACCTTCCAGATTGACTATATCTAATCAAACTCAAACTGACTCCAGCAGCATTACACATCCACAAGTCTTAATAACGTTTATAATTGCAGCAAGTGAAAACGATAAAGAAAGAAGTGCAAAAAGATTGCTTTCTGATCTGAATGCAATGGTTATTAATAAACAATACACCAACATTACCAGCGATACTTCTCTAGACTTTCTTGACACTACTTATGGTGTTCAAGGTTAATTTCATAATAAATGGCAATTGTTATTATTTAATTTGTTATTTAGAAGTTAGTTTATTAATATTTTTATTTGTTTTCTTGAAATTAGAAATTCCTAAAGGAATTTCGTTTAGTAGAGTTGGATTTAAAGGGTTTATCGCCTTATTTGGATTACTTGCAGTAAGTATCATGATATATTTAGCATTTAGAAGGCATAAAGGGGTAAATATCATTGTATTTATAATGTGTTATTATCACTATTATCATCATTATAACATTTATTTATTTATTTATTTATAGGGAAAAACATTTACAATTATTAAAATTACGGTGATAATAGTTGATTTTATTTTTGATTTGGCATTTTTAATTGTTTATTCAACCAAGTTTCCTTTGATATTTTGGATAAGGTAATAATAAAAATATATAATTAGTATTTTTATTATGTATGATTAACGATATTAATTAATTGATATTTCATATTTTTAGTCTTGGAATAATTATATTGTCAGGATTATTTAATTGTATTGCATCATATGGTATAATAATAAAAGAGATTATACACAACCCTACATTTAAAGAATGGTTTAAAAAAGTATCATTTGGTGCTACATCTTTAATCGTGATTGCAGGAATTGATGCGGAAATATTAGGAATTTTATCATCAAAAGTTACAGGGTTTAAATTATTTTCTGCGCCAATTTCTGATCATTCTAAAAGTTTAATATTTTGGAGTGGAACAATCAATTTGTTTATTGAAGATGCACCTCAATTTATCATTCTGGTAAATCAAATTATTTAATAGTTGAATTAATTAAATCAATTGATTTATAATGAATTAATCTCACTATCTTATATATATATTTATTTATTTATTTATTATTTATTTATTTTTGTAGTCGATTTATCAAAAATATTCTACTGAAACCGCCGAAGTTATTCCGATCCTTACATTAATTACATCTTCAGTTGCATTATTTGATAGTGTTTTGGGAAGAGTTTTCCGATTTAACAAACATCAAGATATGAAAAAAATGGAAATGAAGGAAGAAACAAGAAGAAAAATTTTTAAAGATGATGATGATGATAATGATAACTATGAAAATAACAATAATAGTTTAAATAATGAGGATACAGTGGTTGTTATGGAATCTGTATTCACTACCAGTGATGGTGGTACATCTGGAATCCAATCAAGACATGAAGAAACCGAACCAATGTTAACCAGTCATCAAGAAGCCCATCAGCATTATCAAGAAGAAGAACCTCAACATAACGTACACTATACCACTGAAGTTAAAGTTGATGAAAACGAGCCTCATCAAAAATAAATCAGCTAATTATCATGAGTGAACATGTCTGAGAGCAAAGAGTGAGTGAACGAGCAAGTGTGTGTATATATATATATATATATTTATTTATATATTTTTTTTAATACTGTAAAAAATTTCTGTATAGAAAAACCAGTTACACATATGGTAATATTTGTATAATAAAATATATCTATGAGCTGCAGATCAAATAAGAGAATGTGAAATAATCAATTATGGAGACATGCTAGTAAATTAAAATTATACGACTAAACTAATCGTCCAATACTAACAAAAATCTATACACGTGATTTATTTTTTTTTTTCATGAAATTTTCCTTAATTGACGATCCCGCAAATAAATCACGGAAAAAGTCCTAAATTTATTGTACAAGAGCTCTATAATCATATTTACTACACTAAGCTATATTATTAACACAAATAAAAGATTGAATGCTCGTCGTGTCACTATTGCTTGCCAAAACTCGTAATTTTTTTTTTTGCAATTTTTGAAATCGTTTCCATATTTTAATCAGATTTGCAGTTTTTTCTTATTCTCGCATATTAGAGTCGTACGGCAAAGGTTTAATTTCTTATAAACTTGCAGATGAGAGAATAGAATAGAGGGAGGAAGGAGCGTAGTTCATTTATATAGTAATAGGTGATTTTTTAGAAGTTTGTGATCTGTGAAAACTTGATTACTTTTTTTTCCATAGCCACAAATTAATTTTAAAATTTGAATAAATAATTAACACCTATTAGAATGTCAGAATTTCACATGGGGCACCTTTGTGGGATTCTCTGGATATATGATCTTTTGATTTTGATGCATAAAGGTAAATATATAGTCATGTTATTGATGAGTACAAAAGGTTAAATCTCTTGGCTTGAAAGAAATGATGTAATAAAAAATACCTTGTAAAAAAATACAGTTCACTCTCTCTATAACGAACCCTCTGTCCCTATATGTAATTTCTCTGCTTTTGGTCGTTATAGAGAGAG